CGGTATTTGATTAAATCCCTGTCGGAGGTCCAGCGTGCTAAACACAACTGCTCCTTGCAGCTGATCGAATATCTCTTCCGCCGATTCCATGGGGTACCTGTCCACCACTGTCACTTTATTAAGTCCTCGGTAGTCCCCACACATTCTCTTGGCTGATACCTCTCCCGTGAGATCCTTCCGCGCTGCTACTACCGTCGCCGCTGCGTAATCACTGTCAAGAACCTGGATAAGGCCCGCTGCTAACAGCTCCGCGCACTTCTCTCGGCAGGTGTCCAAGTCGCCTGGACTCATTCTCCGTTTTTGTACGTATATAGGCATCTCTGTGTTCAGCTTCACCTGCATTTGATGCGATTTACATTGCCCCAGTTCCCATCCCGCCACAATAATGTCAATCTGCCCCCACTTCTCCAGTGTCTCCTCCGAGATATCCCTGACATTGTCCACCACCTCCTCATATTCAGCGGGTAGGGCGGACTCGGCCAGCTGATCGGGATATTCGGTTAGCAGCTGCCGTGCGTGATGCTGCGCCATCCGGCCCACCACCGGATCTCTTTCGACGTGAATCCACTTCCTCACCCTACAGCCAGCACGCAACACCGCCGCCTGACCGGTGCCGATGCCGCCGTACAACTCCATGATGCACACTGCTCCTTCTAATGTCCAGAGCCTGGTCACTCTTTCTTTCAGCGAGGTCGGTTCCCGCCCCTGCCTCCTCCTCTCTATTCGGCGTTCGTACTCCTCCGCGTATCTCTCCCAGCTCCAGTCGTCCAGCACCGGTCCCAGGTCAGCAACCCGTGCCCCGTATGCCTCCCGAGGCTCTTGCTTAACGAACTTCACGGGTAAAGTACCCATGGAACTGGCAGCGTCCCAGTAGTGCATGCGGTACAGCACTTTCTCTTGCCAGGTACAGATGGTGGCGCCAACTCGGTAAAGCAAATCCATGCCCACCAACGCATCATAATCCTCAGACTCTGACACGCCACAAGTCACGCGGATGCAGCATTCCTTGTTGGTGCTGGGACGCAGTACTATCTCGATGGGCCTTACTGTTCGCGGCATCCATTTCGGCTCTCCTCCCTCGGCGGTCATGAGCAGGATGCCCCTCGGCACGAGCCTCCCGGGCAAGTCGAGCTTCAGTTGCCTAGCTAGTCCTTTCCCGATCAACACGTGGTGAGCCCCGGTGTCGATGATCGCTTGCCCCACTGGCAACCCACCCACCAATAGGCTCCCCTTTTCGGACAGAGGCCTAGCACACCAGTCTCTCGTTAGGGTGGCGCCTCAGTTCGGAGGTACTGCTTCCCTCATGCACGTTGCCGCGTGGCTCCCGTACTCTGCTCGTACGGCTTTCGGACGACTGGCTTCCCCGGCTCCGAAGGTTGAGGTCCTCTCTCTCCCTTGGGAATGCCATAAAGCCGCTTGCTCGCAGATACTCGCCCTCGCTTTCTTCCTCCCCTTCGATCTCCTCGTACGCCAGCATAGCTCTGGCTTTCTGCTCCACTTTAGGCTTTGCCTCCAGTCGCAGTTGTAACCGTTTAATCTCCGCTTGTAACTCCTCTTTACTAGGAGTCTCCTCGGAGCGGCGCCGACTGTAGCAAGCGTCATCCTTGTGCCCCTTCCGTCCACAATTCCCACACACTGGCAGCTTCGGGCAATCTCGCTTCAAATGGCCCGCTTCCCCACATTTATGACACCGCCGTACGTCGGCCCGTTGTAGTCCAGCTAGAGGCGCCTCCGTCAGCGCCGCCGCCGCCCATGAGGACTTCGTTTTAGGACACACTTCCCCGTCTCCCAAGTCCAACATTCTCTGCGCGTGCTCCGTCCTTTTAGCCAATCCGTAGACGTCCTTCAGAGTAATATCTGCACCAATGCCGTACACTGTGTTCCGCACCACATTCCGCAGATCTTCATCTAAGCCTCGGACAAACTTGCGCACCAGCAACCATTCGTCTCGGCTTTCCAGATCCTCTGCAAGCTCCCTCAGTCGTCAGTAGTAGGCTAGCAGGGACTCATCCTTTCCTCGGCAAGACTCGCGAAATTCCTCAACTCGCGCTTTAGTTTGCCCTAGAAATTCCTTCTTCAGCAGCTCGACAAACCGCCCGGTCGGGTTTCCGATCTCTCCACACGCCAGCTCCTCCAGCACTTCCTCCCGCGTCATGCGGTAAAAGGTCTCGGCCTCTCCCGCTAGCGTTACTACCATCCGCCGGAAGAATTCAGCCGGGTCCAGCCCGTCCCGTTCCCAGCAGTACTGCACTGTCTCCAACTGCATCAGATAGTTCTTCAGGGTGGGACCCACGCCGAGAATTCCAGTAAACCGCTCGGCTACTTCCAGCTTCGGTAGGGATCCTGCCGGCCATCTCTTGTCGGTAGACCGATCTGGTGGGGCGGCGGCTGACGGTAGCTCCGCCACTCGACTCGCTATAATCTCTCGATGCGTCGGCGACCGGAACTCTCCCTCCGACTGGCGCCGCAGCCAAGTCGCTTGTGCCGGCATTCGATCAGATTCCATCCCCGGCATCAACCCAGGGGAGTTACTAGCTGGGCGGCTCTCCCACCGGGCTCTCGCTTCCCGAGCCCAGCGAATATCTTGGGGTGTCTCTCCTGGATCTGACGCGACGGCCCGTGCTGGCTCCATCTCCGCGCGTCGCCCTTGTTCCCGTTGGTGCGGGGTTCGGTACGCACCGGTAGTCGGCGCTGGCGAACTCCTAGTCTCCACCGCTGACACTCGGTCCAACGAGGTCGTTGCAACGGCGCGCCAGCTAGGTTCCGCTGAAATATCTTCTCTTCGATAGCTTTGCCCTCAGCGTAGTCTAAACCTATCGTTCATCCTAGCTTGAAAACAGCGATCTGTCATATTTGCTTACTTGTATGTTGTAAGCACCTGGCTCGTTGGCCTCCCTCAGAGTTTTCCTAACTCGGCTGACTGCCTGAAAACACTGAGTGGGCACCTGCAAAAAGGCTTGCTGGGATTGGCTCCTCTCTGGTGAGCTAACGCGAGTAGTGGGTAACTCTTAGCAGATATAGGAAACATACAAGCAAGCAAATGAAAACGACCCGTGTTGCTTGCCTAAGTATGTGCACTTGGTTACCGTTGCATGGCAACGGTTGTTTTTGTTTCGTCAGTCCTATGATTTGGCGCTATTCGCCTCTGCCTTACTTTGCTTGAATACTACTCACTACTGTATCCTGTCATGCATTTATATTGCTAGGCCCTGCTCTCTATTCTTCAATTAAATGTATGACAGAATCAAATCACCAATTCTCGTACTTTGCACTTGCCGCGCTCTATGAGCTCAGTTTTTGGAGCTATGGTAAATTGGTATCATCTCTGACACGTATCTCCACTTGTGCAGCCTCCTTAGCGGATTTTGGTGGTTGCTCACGTACTCCACCGAATCTGAGCATGCCCCGCATGTACCTCCTGCTTGGCGGATCCGTGCGGGATTTCTAGGGATGTGCTGCTCCACACATGGAAGCGCCCTCGACACCACAAGTGCTACCAATGGCGGAAGGGGGTGATTGGCTTCTCGTCGCGATGGCATGAGGTAGAGTAAAGGGTGTTGGTGAAGGCTCGACATAGCACGATAATGGCTCTTTTACAGCGACTCTACCGCTAAGGTTAGAAAGACAGAGTTTGGTTAACCCTGGTGCTGCCGCGAGACGAAAAAAACTTAGTCTGAAGAATACGAGTATCGGGGGGCTTACGAGGTACGCGAGTAATCACCCAAATTAGATATAACCCCAAAAGGTAATAAGAATTTCAAGTCTTGGAAATCTTGTAACTTGGGCGATCTTGGTCGGAATAAGGCGATCTTGGTATCGTTGGAAAGCTCTGGATTTCTCCTGCATGATCAAGCATTTAGACTTGGAGAAAAAAAAACACAGAGATGACAATATCCAACAGCCATGCATAATGACATATGCTCATGCAAATCATGCAAGCACAAATAGCACGAGCACTCGGCAAGACGTTAGGATGACATGCACTCAGAATGACGTGCATCCAACACTTCTATCTGGAGCAATGCGCTTGTGGCGGATCCTCAATCATAAGCGCACCCCCTAAAAAAACGTGATTTATTATAAGCGCATGTTGGTTTTAAATTTCAAAAGCTGTCAAACTACCGTAACAAAGCTCGCTTTAGCAATGCGATGACCTGAAAATCAAATTTCCTTCGCATTCAAACCCTGCACGCTGCGCGTCCAGTCAGCATATGCTGTCAAAAGCGCCTAGTGACTCAGTTTGAGTGTATGTGCTAGCACGGAATCTTTCCCTGCCAAGTAGCGAGAGATTTTCACCCACAACCCTGTTTCAAATTGTCTCAATTGGGTGCGCAATGACGCGAATTACATTATCGTGCTAGTAAAAATAAAAATTGTATATTTGTTATTTTATAAGCTCATGCGCTTATATTTTTTACTCATTTATAAGCGCACCCCCCTAAATAATCATGTTTTATTATAAGCGCAGGTGTGGTTGTATCCGGGGTAATACGGTAATCTGAAAATCAGTGGACAATGCCTAAAAGGTCATGCGACACTCGAATGATTTGCAAGAATTCATAACGACTAGACGCCAACATGGGCAGCGGTGATGCACGAGGACGTTGCTTGATGCGAACCAGCTGGGCTGACTCTGATTGGTCAGACCTTCTGATTTCAGAATACTAACCAATCAAAGTGTTCTTAAAGTCTGTTTTTCTTGGAGGTGAACTTTAGAGTGCCTAAGAATTGAAACGTCAGCCCTGGCCGTGTCAAATGAGCAAAGACGCTAGGTAACTGTCACAAACAGCAAGGCAGTCCCTTGACCCCCATAACAGTTAGGATCATGGAATGATGCATATGATGAAACGCATATAAAACCGAAGTAAAACTCAACCACAATAACCCCATCCCAATCCTAGGCTGGGTATTCAGCTAAAGCTACCCCAATCCACAATCATTTGAAGTTGTGCCTCCAGGCTGTCCTCACCGGCAACAGCATCCTTCTTCATCTCCTAGACCTACGCATCCACCTTGATGGCAGCGCCAGATTCCTCCTTCCCCACCACCTCCTCCCTGACAGCCTGCAGCTGGGTGGCAATGTGTGCCATGCTTGGGCGGCTTGCAGTGCGCTCCACGGTGCAGCTCACTGCCAGCTCAACCACGCGCAGCACAGTTTCTCCAGGGGCGTCCATGGTGGGGTGCTTGAGGCCCTCTGAACCTCCTGATGACAGGCACTCGGATGCCTGAGAGAGTGGAACAGGATGGACAAAATTGCAAGTTTGTAAAGGTGAAATACACATCAGTCAGCATATGAAGCAGAATATATCACTTCAATTGGAAGAATGCGATTACAACAACATGCAACGAGCTTCCTGAGTGGAACTTACCCACACCACGATGTGCTTGGTCTCCCCAGCATCCTCAAAACGTGAAGACCATCCAGTGAGCACCACAAGCATGAGCACACCAAAGCTGCAACATGCGAGAGGTGGTGAGAGCAATGTGATGGTGAGAGCAACGCAATGGTGACATGCATATGACAACTCTATTGTGTGAATCCAAATAACCTGTTGAGGATTTCAGTTGTGTTCCATGACATGCTTGTTCGAGGTGCAAGTTTGACATCTGACAGGTAACTACCAGTCTTTTAATTCCTGGGAGTCTTGTTTATTTGAGCCAACTCCCAGAGTCTTCTGGCTCACATAGCACGATCTCTATATGGCTCTTTGCTCACCTGTATACATCGCTGGCTGTGGTGGCCTTGGAAGTCCGGTTGTAAACCAGATCCACATAGCCTGGTGTCCCCATGATTCGAGTCGTGCCCTCTTCCACCCTCACCAGCCGAAAGTCTGCAATCTTGGGCTGATGGGTGGTTGGATAAATGTGATATTAGGAATGCACCAGCACAAAAGAAAGAAACAACAATGGTGACAAAATAAACGACATACGCTGGTTGCGTCCAAACACAAGAAACACGAACGTGTAAGTGAGCGTGAGCCATATGCAGAACTAGATAAAAAGCGAGACTAGATGAGCCAAACTAGAACGACCAATTACTTTGGCATAGCCCTGCCTTTTCCTATCAATTCTCGTGGCTAGTTGCTTTACAAAGAAGCATCTTGTTATGCACTGTGAGATGCTGCAACCGCGCTTGCCTGCATGTCGCTGGTGATGAGGATGTTGGCGGGTTTGATGTCACGATGCACAATGTCAAAGCTATGGAGGTACTCAAAGCCACGTGCAACACCAATGAGGATGTCTAGCCGTTGCTTCAGACTCAGAGAAAAAGGTGCATCTGCAACAAGCCAAGGGATGAATTTCACGACAAGCATCACCTGGCAGCATGAGTGGCCTACCACGAGAAACATTGTACAAGGGAATGCGACACAACGACTTGCACACTTACTTGGTCCTATCCACTTATGGAGGTCACCATTGGGCACAAACTCGTAGATGAGGACTTGCTCTATCTTCGACATGACGTCCCCTCCCACCGCAAACCCAAGCAGTCGCACAATGTTGGGATGGTTCTTGTCGGCCATTTGCATGACCTGGAGGAAGTGAGAACCGGCACACGGGAACAGGAGGAAGGCGGTAGGAAAGAAAGAGTAGGTTGAGAAGAGGAGGAACAGTGATTCTGCTCGCTCAGCTTAGGGAAGCTGAATAGTCCTGATCAAAATAGATAGCACATTCTTAGATGAAGCGTCTTTTTGTTTGAAAGTAATGGAAAACCGAACTGTCTTATGCCCATGTTGACTGACGGAGTCTGTAGTCCAGCCATCTCCCCATATGCGGCACTCACCTCCCCTTGGAATTCCGCGCCCATGTGCTTGGCGCGCTTCACAGCCCAGGGTGTGGTGGCACCGCGGGGAGAGACGCCCTTGTAGACATCACCAAAGGCATCCGAGCCAAGCAGGTTGTCCTGCGACCAGCCGTTGTTGGTCCGCAGCACCTCCGCTAGCGAAAACTCCGTGTTGTGCGCCGCTTCGGGCTGGGCGGCTCGGTTTGGGCGGCTCGGTTCGGGCTGGGCGGCTCGGTTCGGGTTGCTCGGTTCGGGCTGCTCGTTTTGGCGGGGCCGTGGGTGTTGCGGCGGGGTGCTAAGGGGCGGTGCGTGGGTCGAGGGGGGGGCTGACGGGGCCGCTAACGGGTGGGCGCACGGGGCAAACGGGGCCGACGGGGCCTCTAAGAAGCTCGCGCGTGGGGTCGATGGGGCCAGTGGGACCGCTAAGGGGCGGCGCGTGGGGTCGACGGCGCCTGCTGGGGCCTCTAAGGGGGCGCCGCTCGGGGTCGACGGGGCCAGCGGGGCCACTAAGGGGCGGCACGTGGTGTCGATGGGGCCGACGGGGCCGCTAAGGGGTGGGCGTGCTCGGGGCCTAGGGGGCCAACAGGGCCTCTAAGCGGGGCCAGTGGGGCCTCTAAGGGGCGGCGCGCGGGGTCGACGGGGCCTCTAAGGGGCGGCGCGCGGGTCGCCAAGGGGGGCGGGTCGCGGGTCGCGGGGCCTTAGGGGGGCGTAAAAACGAGGCGCACGGGGGCACTAGGGGGGGAGGCGCTCGAGGGCGCTCCGACAGTAGGGCGCACGATGGCGCTAGTAAGCAGCAGTAGTGGTGGGCCCTAAGAATCGGTCCTAGCGGGGGACCTGCTCTGATTCCATGTTACAAAGAAGAAGTGATTGCACTATGAAAGTTGGAGTACAAGTAGGAAACCCTAACTTTGTGTACCCCCTAAAGGCTAACCCACTATAGCCTACACAATAATAACACATATAGTGTTTGACAGAAGTACGGCAGGTAGTGCAACTCAGCTCCTGCCCCTCCCTCATTGCCCTCACTCCCCGCACTCCCCACCGCACTCCCTGCCTGCACGCGCCATCACGAGTTCCACATGCTGCTGTCCATGCCCTGCCGAGGCAGCATCTTGAACTCCTCCCCAAACGTCATCCACATGTCCCGCGCCACTGCCCTCTCCCCCCCCGTGCACCCCTGCTCCTCCGCTGACGCCCCTCCCCCAACTCTCTCCGACCACTTCTCCCCCGCCCCCGGCCACAGCTCCTGCCGCTTCCCCTGCTGCACCCAACCCTGTTCCCACACCGCAAGCACCAACAACAGCACCAGCAGCACCAAGAACATCAGCAGCAAGAGGAGAAGCATCGCGATCAGGCAGCGATGCGGGCGGCACACGCTCCTCATTGAGCACGCCTGTGTCGTCAAACTCCTGGGGCTCCTGAGCAGCCTCGCAACCCTGCAGTGCGCGGCACAGCACCATGCCCTGCTGCGACCACGCCACCACCAGCAGCACCTCCAGGTGCTCCAACCATTGCACTGGCGCAGGGGTGCTGTCCGGAGGGGGCGCCGGGCAGCTTAGTTGCCTGTGCTGGTTGTCGCACACAAGCACGATGCCTGACCTTGTGATCCGTAGTCACTGCAATGCAAACGTCGTGTGGTCTGCTGCCACTGACTGCACTGCCAACCCCACCACCCTCCCCTCCTCCATCGCAAAAAATAGGGCTTCTGAAAGCTACGGCAAAGCAACTTTGCGGTAGCTCTGTGGTTGGTTTGGAGGGTGCTACCTTGGGGTTGCTGGCAAGGTTACGTTGAAGCTGATGTTGGGCTTGCGACATTACAAGGAAAAAATTGCGACGAAACTGTGCCGCACATCTCGAAGGAGATGAAGCTACTTCGGCGTAAATCTCATTGTGGTTTTGCTTGTACACAACATTGAAATTTAATATGGACCGCAAATCGCCAGATTCTCGAAGCTACTCTCGGGTAGCTATGAACATGACGAGAACAATCCAGGACACGTGTCTTGCACCTATTCGCAGCTTTCTGATTGTACTAACAGTCGCAAGCCAATCGGATTTGTCTAACAATCTAAAACGAAAACGATAGCAAGCTTGCTTGAAAGTTATGCCAGCAGTTATGTTTCTCGGTTACGAATTGGTTACAATTCGGTACAGTGATTCTGAAAAAAGCTTGTATAATTATGATAAAACGTTCAAATGTTACCGAGTTACCTCGTAGTAGTAACACTTGCGGAAAATATATAGGGTTAAGAAAAGTCTCTAATACATTGGTAGTTGAAACGTATAAAATAATTTCAGTACAAAACACATTTTTATAAATCAGCCATGCTATTCATGTTTTTCATTTCGCTTTTTATTAGCACGTTTCAAATCACCATCACAATGAAAAGATGTACACACAACACTTGATTCACATAACACGGAAATCGTAAACAAGCATCTTAAGGAACTAGCTTCCTGTTACATCCACGACACCTAGGGGTCAATACGGAACTAGGAGATGCACAATAAGAGCAACGTCAGAGAACAAAAACAGAAGCAAAATTGGAGAGTTTGCTTACAGCTCCAACCAAACTCTTTCACAGCCTCTGGGTGAAAAATAAGCTACCTGCAAAACATCCACGAGAAAAAAACAAACGCAAAACACAGCAGAAGTAGCTGGCTGTTACTTCCACGATGCCTAGGGAAAATACTAACTTTAAAAAGTGCTGCACAAGAGAGATGACAGTCAGATAAGAATAAAAAATGAAAACCTTAATTACAGCTTCGCCATAATCTTAACAGAGGCTGATTGAATAATAAGCAACCTGCAAAAGAACATCCAAGAAGCAGACGCCTAACCAGTCAAGAGTAACTGACTGCGTGACTGGGTAACTACCAGAGTCATATGCAGAGGAAGCGGGTGGGGATAACCCTACCATGCTCTGGCAGAATTTCTATATCGGCGTTCCATATCCAGGGCCAGTACAAATGCCAACAAAAAAAAATCCAGTAAAGAACAAAATCGTAATATAAACTGACAACCGTAAGTAAGGCGTCCAAAACGAGCATTGTACCGTGCATATACGACATATGGGCCAGAAACAAGGAACAAAGGCGGAAACCAGACAAAGCGGAAACCTGAAGCAGTTGAATAGTGTAAAATGATTGTGGCAGGAGTGGAAAGGCGTCTGTCACAACATTCACATACTACACATATATTCAGCCAGAGTTCTACCCGTTTACAGCACATTTTCGTCTTGAGCATAATCCAGCAAAGAGAAGAATAACATTACAAATAGTCACCAATACACACAATTTCGGACCACAAACACCAAACAACCTAATCAGTGTGGGGTCCATGAGTGTTTTGTATCTGAAAACTGTGGTTATCTTTCATGTAGGAAAATGTGAATCCAACCTGTAATATGTGTTGTATCGATGAGGGATTTTTTTATGGTAACATATATACATATATTCGCCTTTATATATATGCACAAATATATACATGTGCATGCATATATAAATTTGTACATGGTTTCTTGTAACCATTCATACATCTAATAGATTATAAGCATGGTGGACAAGTTTGGTGTCATTCGCAGCAACATGTAGGAGTTTATACTGTGTTAAACAATTGTGCTACGAAAACTGTGCAAGGATAGGCCAGTGCGACAAATGGTGCCGAATTAACATCCATTTGTAATTTTAAATATGGTTTCTTCTGATCATTCAAGCATTTAATAGATTTTATGCATGCTGGACAAGTTTTATGTCATTCGCAGCAGTAGATAGGAAGATATGTCATGTCGAATAATTCAACAAGGAATACCGTGCAAGGATAGGCATGTGCGACACGAGTTGCATAGTTGTGCTAACGAGATGAAATCAGTTCCTATGGCTAGGTAATAGGATGTAGTAGAGAATTGTGTGAAGCAATAGTGGTAAAATGGCATCCAGACGTTGGCGCAGTGACATGTTGGGCACAGGCCTATCCTTGCTCAGATTCAGGCCAGCAAACGCACAAACAAGCGCCACGTGCTGCGTAGTTGTGCGAACGAGGTCAAACCAGTTCCTATGGCTAGTTAATAGGATTTAGTAGAGAACTGTGTGAAGAAATAGTGGTAAAAAAGGCATCAAAATGTTGGCGCAGTGACATGTTGCGCACATGCCTATCCTTACAAAGATTTAGGCCAACAAACGCACAAACAAGCGCCACGTGCTGCGTAGTTGTGCAAACGAGGTCAAACCAGTTCCTATGGCTAGGTAATAGGATTTAGTAGAGAACTGTGTGAAGAAAGAGTGGTATAAAAGGCATCCAGACGTTGGCACAATGACATGTTGCGCACAGGCCTATCCTTGCACAGATTCAGGCCAGCAAACGCACAAACAAGTGCCACGTGCTGCGTAGTTGTGCAAACTAGGTCAGACCAGCTCCTATGGCTAGGTAATAAAATGTAGTAGAGAAATGTGTGAAGAAATAGAGGCATAAACGGCATCCAGATGCTGGCGCAGTGACATGTTGCGCACAGGCCTATCCTTGTACACATTCAGGCCAGCAAATGCACAAACAAGCGCCACGTGCTGCGTAATTGTGCGAACGAGGTCAGACCAGTTCCTATGGCTAGTTAATAGGATTTAGTAGAGAGCTGTGTGAATAAATAGTGGTAAAAAAGGCATCCAGATGTTGGTGCAGTGACATGTTGCGCACAGGCCTATCCTTGCACAGATTCAGGCCAGCAAACGCACAAACAAGCACCACGTGCTGCGTAAACGTGCGAACAAGATCAAACCAGTTCCTATGGCTAGGTAATAGGATAAAGTAGAGAAATTTGTGAAGAATTAGTGGTAAAAAAGGCATCCAGACGTTGGCCCAGTGACATGTTGCGCACAGACCTATCATAGCACAGATTCAGGCCAGCGAACGCACAAACATGCACCACGAGCTGGGTAGTTTTGCTAACGAGATGAAATCAGTTCCTATGACTAGGTAATAGGATGTAGTAGATTATTGTTTGAAGCAATAGACGTAAAAAAGGCATCCACACATTGGCAGAGTGACATGCGTGCTCTATTTGAGCTGACGCAGTAGTGGTACATATGTTGTTTCGATAGTGGCAGGTACGATAAGGCTGCACTGGAATGTATAAGTAATACCCGCCTTACTCCAATAGAGGCGATGCCTAATTGTAGATAATTATTACACATTCTAATCAGTACACTAAACAGCCGTAAACATATTCTCCAAGTGTGATGTTATCCTTATAAATTGAGAGTCAGACGATAATATTATGCAAAACAAACTAACCAGCAAGCGATTTATGAGGTGATTTACCACTTAAAAGATAGTTTACAACTTCAAAGGTAGTTATGAAAAATCCCATAAATGAACAACCAATTGTAACTACAAACTCCTTAGCGGGATTTCTTGCACGATAGAATCCTTGCCGAAAAAATAGAACGGGCGAAATGCCCAAATTGAAACACAAGAAAGGCAAACGAAGCTGAACGATTTTGCTAAGAGCAGCTGTTCCATAGCTATGAATTGAAAGCCAATAAAAAACATCCACGCCAAATCACCCTCTGATCATTCTGCCGATTACCGAAGCGCCCACGCTCAAAGCAGCTCAAAGGTAGGTATGTCGAAAGTTTTAGTCAAGCAGCTTCGAAGCACCTGAAACTAAAGCTACCCCTCTACCCTCCCAGTTTTTGCGATGTCCCCTCAAGAACCACCAGCAGCAGCAGCAGGGTTCTGGGGGCTGAACCCAGAGTGGCACACGAGCACGATGCCCAAACCTGTGAGCGCCACTGAAACAAGGCTACGGCGCTGCTGCCGCGCACGACGCGGCTCGCCTGGCCGGCCATGGCGACTAGGAAGAGGGCGGCGCCGTAGCTTGTAAAGAAAGGAGAATGTTGCAGCGGAAGAGAGAGAAGCTAGGCTACTGAGAGAAGCCCAACTCTGGAGACGTAGATGAGAGAAGAGAGAAGAGATTCTGAAATTAGATTAGCAAGAGATTCAAGGATGATACAAGAAAAGCTAGAGAGGGATATTTATGCTAGGGAGAATGAGCGCGGCTCGGGAGGAAAGCCCGCGTCACCACGCTTTCAGCATGGCATCTTGGCATAGCGCCTCGATGCCATGCCCTGCTGGATTCTAGTAGCTTCCAATAGCTGATGAGGATAAGAAAGTATGCTCCGAGGGTAACACCTATCTTTATTTGGAGCTAGCTAGGTAGAGGGAGTTCAAACCGTTCGGGTGTTCCCATGCATGCAAGCATGGCGAACCCTGTCTTGTTACATAATTCCCCTCCCTAAGAAGCATCGTCCCGATGCTCACCCATGCTAACTAGTCATGAAAACCAGAAAGTATAAACAACAAGAAAGTCTAAACCAGAATTTATTTACAAGCCTATCTTGGTCTTCTCTTGGTCTTCAAGCTTCATGCTTCAAAGGTGAGTGTCCAGAGCAGATAAGAGGGAGGTAGGCATGCAGCTGCAGCCCATACTACAGCTCTTGCGGTCACCTGCAGCCTTGGTTAATGGCAGAGGGCTCCTCAGGTCCTTCCATGTGAACAGCCTCACATAAGCCCATGCTTCCTTAGCTATAGCGCTTCTTACTGATCACAGTAATCCATACCAAGCTGCCTTATAAGCTGGTGCCTATAGCACGTCCAGCGATACCGTTTTATATGCCTCAGAAGAGAAAACCAGAGAATAAAAGTGACATGGCAAACCATCTGGCCAAGCAACCTTGTGGATCCACTAGAGCTAGTGAAATAAGGCGCTTATGCTCTTTATAAACAACAGAGCAAAGGACTAGGAACATGCCAAGCTGAA